ATTCCAATCAGTTATAGGCAGAAAACAGACTTACAAGCTTTCTATGGTGTTGTTTCTGACTATTCCTTTCTCTCCCCCTCCAGTGTCTATTTTATAATGTTATGCCAGAAAAACCAAGTTTCAAAAGACAGCCAAGCATCTTAACATTATTCCCTCCTTTTCCCCATTCCAACCATGTCTCAATCTCTGTATCCCAGAGCCCTATAGTTCCAGGGTTGTGCATACATCATTCTTTACCTCTGTCCCACTTAGCCCATTCAAACATGCCTAGTTGTTCTCTCATCTGCTTTGTTCTTCCATTCCCCTCTCCTTTCTTGTATATTGCACCCCTCCCCAGCACCCAAACTTTCCTGTGTCTAATCCCTGCCCTGTGCTCCACCCTCCCCTCACCCACCCCCAACTTCCAAGCAATCAACAAGAATTCCCCCCACCTCCCTTTAGTATGGGTTCTTTTTCTTAGTCTTTTACAGTAGTGGTCCTATGCAGTATTTCTCTTTTTGTGACTGACTAATTTCACTCAACATAATGTCCTCAAGGTTCATCCATGTTATGCGGTGGCTTGCCGCTTCCTTGTTATTCTTCAAGGTAGCATAATATTCCATTGTGTGTATGTACCACAATTTGTTTATCCATTCTTCAGTTGATGGGCACTTTGGATGCCTCCATCTTTTTGCTATTGTAAATAGTGCTGCTATGAACATTGGTGTGCATATATCTACTTGTTTTTCTTGTGGGTAAATACCAAGTAGAGAAATTGCTGGATCATAAGGTATTTCTATTTTCAACCTTCTGAGGAAGCGCCATATTGCTTTCCAGAGAGGTTGGACTATTTTGCAACCCCACCAGCAATGCAGGAGTGTCCCAGTCTCTCCACATCCCCGCTAGCATTTATTGTCCTCTATATTTTTTATCTTTGCTGTTATTGTTGGTGTGAGATGATATTTCATTGTTGTTTTGATTCGCATCTCTCTAATGGTTAGTGATCGTGAACATTTCTTCATATGTTTGTTGGCTGCCCGGATCTCTTCCTTAGTGAAGTGTCTGTTCATGTCATGTGCCCACTTTTTAATTGGGTTATTTATCTTTTTCTTGTAGAGGTGTTGTAGTTTCCTGTATATTTTAGAAATGAGTCCCTTGCCTTGTACCACATTTTAACACAACTTTTTAGGTTTTCATAATCTGTATGAAAAAACTCACACAGTACAAAAGGGCCCATTCTACCTGTTGCACTCATTCACAACTACATACTTCCCAGACACAACCATTTTTAATTATTTCACATGTATTCTTCCATAAATATTTTTCTAAATCCAAACATATAATTTTTAAAAATAAAATTAGAGTCATACTACACATGTTTCTATTTACCTTTGATCACTTAAAAATCATCTTGATTTAAATTAAAAAATATATTTTTATATCTTTCATAGTTCATTCACCAGTCAACTAAGTTGCCTTTAGGTTATTGTAAAAAGCTATTTATAACAACTATTATAAAAATGCTACAACAGTTTCTTGTACACATTGTTTTGTGTATCCTATGTTAGTCTTCTTAAAGGATTCTTAGAAGTGTACTTGCTGGGTCAAAGTTTATGTGCCTTTTAAATTTAGTGAAAACCACTCAATCCTACTCATGGCAACCCCATGTGTGATGCTGCATAAGGTTTTTGTGACTGATTTTTCAGAAGTAGATCACTAGGACTTTCTTCTGAAATATCGCTGGGTGGACTAAAACCTTCAAATTTTTAGTTGCAGTATCCTAACAATCTGTAGCTGCCAGATTACCATTCAGGGAAGTGTCTTGAATTTGCATTCCCAAGAGTTATTTAAGACATCTGTTTTATCTACAACCGTCAATATTATCTATCTTCTTAAGCTTTGCTAATCAAAGACACTTAACAGCAATAACAATTTCATAGATGAGGGTGATGTGTTGGGGGAATGATAACTTATGATTGTTTTCATTTGTATATATTTAATTAGCAATGAAAAATTTTTTTAATGTATTTATTGTTTATTTAGATATTTTTAGTTGTTCATGTCCTTTTCACATTTGTCTAGTAGTTTTTTCTTTTTTTTTTTTTTCTTTTTTACTGCACTGAAAGTTATTAAGGTAGTTAGTTTTATCTATCATAATGTGTTTCAGCATATTGGTCCAAGATTGAGATATGATGTTTGCCATTTATATATAATATTTTTGTTCCTTTATCTATTTGTTAGAATAAGAAACCACTACTGACTTTTTTCCCCTCAGTTCCAGTGTCTCGTCCAGTCCTCACCCTCAGGGCTTCAAGGGACCAGTCTGTGGTTGGGGATGAAGTGGAGCTTCACTGTGAGGCCTGGAGTGGCTCTCCGCCAATCTTGTACCGGTTCTATCATGAGAATGTAATCCTGGTGAACAGCTCAGTTTCATCTAGAGGAGGAGTGTCCTTCAACCTCTCTCTGACCATAAAACATTCTGGAAACTATTCCTGTGAGGCTGACAATGGCCTGGAGGTCCAGCACAGTGAAGTAGTGGCACTCTCCATCAGAGGTAAGTTTCTTATGCAGGCTATAGACATAGACAAATTATTTCCTCTTCTAAGGATGTAACGACCATCCCTAAGACAGTATTTCTCAGTGACATACATGGAACAGTGCAATGGACCACTTTTATATGGCCTTTCTTGCATGGTCTTGTTACTTCCACCAAATGATTGAATGAGACCATGAAAAAAGGTGCATGGCACACTAACAAGGGGATTGGTCAGCTTTCCTTCCTGTTAGATTTTAAAAGAGAGAATCACCATAAGCATAAGCCTAAGGCAGATCACTATGACATGGAATTCAAACATACTCCTGCCCTCTATCCTCTTACATTGTGAAGAATTGGTATTCCAGAACACTTAATTGTGCTCATAAGGAACCTATACACAGATGAAAAGGCAGTCATTTGAACAGAACAAGGGTATATTGAATGGTTCAAAGTTAGGAAAGGTGTGCTCCAGGATTGTGTTTTTTCACCATACTTACTCAGGCCGTATGCTGACCAAATAATCTGGAATATATGAAGAAGAACATAGCATCAGGATTAGAGGAAAACTCATTAACAACCTGTAATATGCATGTGATATAATCTTCCTTGCTGAAATTGAAGAGGACTTAAAATACTTACTGACAAAGATCAAAGACCAAAGCATTCAGTGTGGATTACCTCAATGTCCTCACAAAAACCAAAGTCCTCACAACTGGACCAACAAATATCATTATGATAAATGAAGAAAACATTGAAGTTATCAATTTTGCTTGGATCCACAATCAACACTTATGTAAACAGCAGTCAAGAAATCAAATGATGTATTGCATCAACCAAATCTGCTTCACAAGATTTCTTTAAAGTGTTCAAGAGCAAAAATACTAAGTTGTGGTGGGGCTAGATGGCAGCTAGGGTGAAGGTGCAGTGAGGTTCGCCATCAGCCATACCACAGAATACCAGGCAAAGCAGTATCAGGGCAACTTGGAACCACATAGGTAGGAATATTTAAAAAGTGTGAAGGCTTATAGCTAGTGGCACTTGTAGCGAAAGTAAGAAATCGCATAGTTTTGAACATGCTGGACTTGGTGGCCTGGAACTGACAACTTGTGTGAGACCAAATGGCAAAACCAAGCAAAGGAACAGACACACCATGGAAAAGTATTGCGGAAACCTTGGCTCAAAGGTGGACAATACACTTTGTTGGGTTTGCTTTGTTCTGATTTTGTTTTGTTTTCTGTTCATTGGTCCCCCGCTGTTTGTGCACCTCCATTCTGGTGACTAGAGGGGGTGCCTGAGTGAGTGGACAGCCCCCATTCACACCACTGGTGGCTTCTTCTGCCACGAATGTGCACAGATAATCTGAGCCCAAGAGCCGGCCCTGAACTGGTTTTTGTTTTGTTTTGTTTTGTTTTTTTTAAATACAGAAAAGCCAGAAAAAGGGCCATGGAGAGGGAAAGAGAGTTCAAAAACAAAACAGGCCAAAAATTAAATTAAATCCTGAGGTACAGCATAACAACCAACAGTGGAATCTTGAAATCTCTCAGGCAGCTTTCAAGGCAAGAAGGTGAAAGAGGACATTAAAGGCATACTCATATTAGGCTACAGATTTTTTCCCCTGTCTCTACCTCCTCTCCTTTTCTGCAATTATAGACTACAGTATCCAGTCTAGTTTTTTTTGTTGTTGTTATTATTGTTTTTTGGTTGGGTTTATTTTTTTGTTTGTTTTTTGCTGTAGCTGCTTTGCTGTTTTATGTTCTCCTTCTACCTTTGGGGGACTCTTTCTCTCCCTATATGACCCAAGAAGAGACAGCATCTGCTGCCAAATAATCAAGCTACAATCACCCATCTATAAAACACCAAAATCCAGGCAATAACCAATACCAACTGCCATATACCAAGGAGGCAGAGAAAACCTGTGAAAGTTACTCTGAGTTAAGCAATAAGAAGAGTGAAAAAGGAAGGCCACATCCTCATCACATCTATCTGGAAGTAATCATAAAGCATAAAAAATACCAAAACACATACTCAATTAAGTATTAAGGCCACAGATAAACATTAAACATGTCCAAGAAGCAAAAGCAGATGACCATATCAGCACATGTCCAGAAACAAGAAAAAAAGTCTGATACAGATGACCTAGAGGTAGACCTGGACTACATTCTGGAAGGAGGGCTGCCTTGAAAATGCCTTAGAAGAAATTCAGAAAAATGATTATAAAATGTTTCAAGACAGTTTACAATGGAGTTCAGAAAAATAAGGAAGAAGTCAGGAAAGCACTTCAGGAAAAATCAAATAAGATAGATACAG